CCTCTTCAATTTAGTTTATTCTAATAAATGATAGAGTTCATAGTTAATAATTATAGGCAATATACTATTTTTCCATTTTATTACAACATCAAGAGAAAGTTGTATCAAAGTGTTCTCCGCATATAAGTTCCATTATTTTCAGTGTTTCACATTTCAAAGAGGCTCGGATTTGATTATTCTTTACTTTTAATAATTAATAGAAGAAAAAAATGATGAAAAATGTACTTTAAGAAAATTCTCTTACAAGAGACGCCTACGATGCTGACGCGCCACAGAGTGCTTACCCCTCCTATCCTTTTTTAGGCTAACCACCCATAGTGATTCTTTTCCACTCTGATTGCCTACTTGAAAAAAAGGTGGTGTTAAGCTTTGAGATAGCCAATCAAGAAAGCAGAAAAAGGAGTTGTGATGAGAAGGCTAGTTTAAATTCTTGACGATTTTTCGTTTTTAATACTTTCCTTTTCTTCTACGATTGAATATCAATTTGAGAACTGATTTTTAAATTCTGTATTACGTTATTTGTTATATTTTTAAATTTACTTTTTATTTCAATTTTGTTTGTTAGTTATTATTTGTTAAATATTCGAAAGTTAAATAGTTTATTCAGATTGTTTCTAATTCCAAATATCTTTATTCATGGCCTTTGTGAGAAAGTCCAGTGAAATTTGGTCATATTTCACTGCAAGTGATGAGTTTATTGCGACTTGCAATATTTGCAAGGGAACATTTTCTTATAAATCATCAATTACTAATTTGAAAAAACATCTGAATCGTGTTCATCCGACAGTGCTATATAATATTGAAAGGCAAAAAGAATGCTCATCCATAGAAATCAGCGATGTTGAAATACCGAACAACGACATGGAAATCAACATCACGAACGAAATAAAACGAAAACTCCAACAAAGTAAGATTTTTCAGTTCGCAACTAAAAAGTTGTGTTTCGACGAAAAGCGGAAAATTGATGACGTTTTAATGAACTTGTTCATCACTGACTTTCAACCATTTAGTGTGGTTGAAGATGAAGGTTTTAAAGAATTTGTAAAAGCATTGAATCCTGCCTACCAGCTACCGAGCAGAAAAACTCTTTCAGCTAGTTTACTGACAAAGAAGTATGAGCAG